CCAGCCACTCTGTCCCCAGCACTGGCCCCTGGGGAACACCAGTAGTGAATATTATAAACTGTTGCCATTTTTTGGGTATATTTTAGATCATTTTTCATCTAACAGCCTTTGATATTCATCTCCGTGCTCCTACAGAGTAAAAATAGGTGTTGTGCCAGGTACAAGTGTGGGAGTTTGTGTACAAAGAGGCGACGCCATTATTGTCTTCGTGAATGTCTCGTGACTATCTATTATTATTTACAAAAGTGATTCTTCTACACACACCTATTATAAACACCCACTTATCATTGGTTCACTACTATTACTAGCCCACCTTATACACAACATAATTGGTTTTTAACATATCAATCATAAAATGCCCCAGTCATTCTTCTCCACCTCTAATCATCTTCAGCTCCTGCATCCCATGCCCAGGAGCTGCTTATCTTGCTGCCTTCTTCCTCGCATTCCAGCTGCACCAGTGTCCTTGAACAGCTTGGCTTGCAGCTTGCTCAGGCCCTGCTAGCAAGGCTGGATTGCTCACATGTCCGTTAGCGATCAGAAATTCTCCCACATACATGTGCTGTTTTGTGTACAATATGGGCATTTTTTCTCGGTGGCTTTAAGCTTTAATGGGACATTTCTTACCTGTAACACAGGAGCAACAGCAAGCTCAGCAAACAGAAAGGCTCAGGGGATGGCAGTGGCTCTGACATTCAGCACAGTGAGCTCTCCTTGTACCTCTCAGCTTGTAAGTTTTTGGACACAGCTCTGTCATTCCCACCTGACAGGATGCAGCTGTTTCAGATGTGAGTACCTGTTCTCTAGGTTCTTCCCATTCTGGTTTCTTCAAGGCTTCATTTTGCCATCAGTTGTTTTTTTCTACAAGTGTTGATGTTCAAATGTAATTTGGGGTGTTTGGGAGAACTGTTTGATCTTATCAGTGTAGGAGGAGTTCACCATCCTCATTAGGAGATTCTTCAACTTGGAAAAAGAGGATAATGGAAAGATAGAGGCTGTTTTTCTTTGGATACAGTTGGGAATATTTGGAGCTAGTTAGATTTAAATACTGACGACACTAATGGACTTGTGCATTAATAGCATAAAAAATAGAGTTAGGACAGATGTTCTGTGTGGACTAAACTAGGGATGATCCAAATAAGGAGTTTTTTCTTACCAAAGGATCCATTTATTTCAGGTACAAATGGGCATTTGTCCCAGAGGTGGACACTGAGGCATCTCCTGTGACCACCTCTCACCTGGTAGAAAACCACCAGGAATGCAGACCACACATTGTAAGGATCATGGACCTGCTGAGGATGAAATATGGGGTAAAGAAACAACACTTAATTCTTTACCAGTCTATTTTAAAATCCATTCATTTACTTTCCTAAACAAGTGACAAGATTTAAGTTATCCAAGAGATGTGTAGATAGTTGTTCCCTGTAAAGTGCTGAGGCACTGGCACAGTTTGCCCAGAGCAGCTGTGGCTGATTCATCCCTGGGAGTGTTTCAGGTCAGGTTAGATGGGGCTTGGAGCAGCCTGGGCTGGTGGGAGGTGTCCCTGCCCAGGGATGGGATTGGACTGGATGAGCTTTAAGGTCCTTCCAAACCATTCTGGGATTCTGTGATACACTTATAAAATTCATGAGGCTTTTAAAAATTATGTTCCTGCCTTCACATATGGATCATGGAGCTGTCAAACTGCTTCAAGGGAGCCAGGGACAGTTTCACAGAATCACAGAATGACTGAGGTTGGAAAAAACCTCCAAGAGCATCAAGTCCAACCTGTGACCCATCACCACCTTGTCAACTAGAGCAAAGCTCTGAGTGCTATGTCCAGTCATTCCTTGAACACCTCCAGGGATGGTGACTCCACCACCTCCCTGGGCAGTCCCATCCAAAGCCTGACCTGCCTTTCCATGGGGAAATTCCTCCTGATGGCCAACCTGAACCTTCCCTGGCACAGCTTGAGGTGTTTCCCTTGTCCAGTCCCTGTTCCCTGGGGGCACAGCCTGAGCCCACCTGGCTGCACCTCCTGCCAGGAGCTGCAGAGAGCAGTGAGTTTCCCCTGAGCCTCCTGTTCCCCAGGCTGAGCCCCCACAGCTCCCTCAGCCACTGCTCCCAGGACTGACTCTGCACACCCTTCCCCAGCTCCATCCCCTGCCTTGGATACCTCCAGCCCCTGCATGTCTCTTCTGCAGAGAGGGCCCAGAACTGGTCCCAGCACTCCTGAAGCCTCCCCAGTGTTCCCTTAAACCTACTCCCAACCTCCCAGTGCAAACACCTTACCTGAGGCAGGACTTTTACCACACCCAAAGCTGAGTTTGTTTCCTTGCAGGACCCAAAGCAGAGCGAGGGAACCCCCAGGAAGCACAAGTTACCCCTGCTGACCCTGCGCTCCGTGTCCAGCATCACCCAACTGATGCCTTTCTTCAAGACTCTCTGTTGGGCATTCACAGCCCATGGCAGTGAGTCCCAAAATTCCCATCCTTCTGCCTCTGTCTCCATGGACTATGTTGCCTGTAATGGCCTCAAGATCTTGAAACAGCTGGAAGACAGTGTTGAATGTGATTTCCTGGAGAACATGGAAGGTTAAGACACAGGTTGGACATTTGGCTTGTGGTGGATAAGCAGAAAAAAAAAAAAGGGAAAGATTTGCTGCAATTCCTTTTTTTTCCCCAGATTTCAGTTTGGAGTTGCTTCCTGCTGTTGTGGATTACTGTTCAGTAATGCAGTAGTTGGTGTGGAAAAGCAGGATTCATCCTGTGATGGGGAAAAAAGGTGCAGCTTAATGGGAATTTATCACAGTTACTGTATTCTTTTCCTTGTTATCCATGGGAAGGAGTAAAGACTTTTGTAAATAAGGGAGTATTTTTGACTTGGTGAGTGTAGCAACTATCCTGTACCAATTCCAGTGTTTGAAACTGCTTTTTTGGGACTGTTCTGAAGGCAAAGTTAAGGCAAAGCTAATATTGCATGAGCAGAGCACAATCAGGTAAGTCATTCCCTGGGGTCAAACCCCTTGAACTTGGCCTAAAACTGATCAAACTCCAAGCAAATCAGCTAAACTCCCAACAAAATGGATTTTAGAAGTCTCACCATAGTGCAAAGAGCTGCAGATTCATCGTGTTTCTCTCTCATCTCTGGACTGTAACATCCTTCAGGCTTAACAATCACTAAAGGAAAGGGAAATGTGCATAAGATCCTGTGCAGCAACACTTAGTGATGAGCATTACCAAGGGGGTTTTAAGTTTAATTAATTGGTTTAAACACTACCATTTTTTTTTTAATGACAAAGCTTTGTCCTTTCAGTGGCTGAAGTCACTTTGCAGCTTCTGAACTGCACCTGAAGGAAGGTAATGCTGGAAAAACACAAACTGCTGTATAGGAGCAGCTTAATTCGGCTGAAAATAACGTTCTTTTTGGGGTTTCAGGACACTTTTTGTACAAATGAATGTATTTGGCTGCTCCTGGGTGTTGAGAGAAGGAGGGAAATCAGCACAGGGGTTTAGTTTTCAAGACTCACATAACAAACATGAATACCAAAACATGTTTACTCTGTTAAAGCTCTGTGAAAATCCTACTAGAATAGGTTTATGTTTGGATTTTTACAGCTAAGGAAAGTGATAGACTGAGGTGCAGTAATCTCTGGTCACTAAGAAGGTGAATTATCTCTATGAATATAACTTATTAATGATCTCTAATGATGTTGCAGTGAGAAAAGTGAAAGGTTACCCTGGTTTGCACGTGTTTGTGTTCATTGCCTACATATCTTCAGTGATATTTGCAGATGATCTTGTTAATACTCAGGATGATTTGATGGGTTTACTTTCAGTTTTCTTCTGGTTACATTCCATACTTGGATATTTCCCTTAAAATCCTGAGGAGATGAAGGTTAGGTTAGATGTTAGGAAGGAATTGCTCCCTGTGAGGTGCTGAGGCACTGGCACAGGTTGCCCAGAGCAGCTGTGGCTGCTCCATCCCTGGGAGTGTTCCAGGCCAGGCTGGATGGGGCTTGGAGCAGCCTGGGCTGGTGGGAGGTGTCCCTGCCCATGGCAGGGGTGGAACTGGATGATCTTTGAGGTCCTTCCAACCCAAACCATTCCATGATTCTATCAAATGGACTAATAAAACCTAAGACAACATTTCATCATTAAACTGCTCTAACTTTTTAGGGTTCCAGCAGTGGTAGGTTAATGGTTGGACTTGGTGATCTTAGAGGTCCCCTCCAGCCTTGATGATTCTGTGATTCTAAATGGCCACAGATGCTTGGGACCTGCAGAATCCTTCAAAAGAACAAGTTCTTTAAATTGAGCATCTAAGCAGATCTTGTGCCATTATAAACAGCATGTGAGGAAGGAGGAAAGGGCTGTAACTCAAGTCCTGCTTGGGTGGTGTGGCACACACTTACATAGGCCCAAAGGGATCTCTGCTATGTTTTATTCCAGCACTTTATTCCTTTTCCCTAACTGTTTCCACCACTGTTCAGTCCCGTGAAGGAGAGTGGTGCTGCTCTAACTGGTACTGCCAAATCAGAGTGACTTCACTGGAGATGAAACTGGAAAAGGTCTTGCCTAGAACTCAAGAGCAGGAGAGAAAATGCTTTTGCTTTGCTGTGTAGTTTTTTGCTTGTTCTGACTCTAACCAAGCTCAGCTTTCTCTTTTGGGTACTTCATCTGCAAGACAGCAGAGCCACAGTGCGCAGAGACAGTTAAGTATTCCAAAGGATTTCATTTTCCTGAAGGAAAAGAACAGTAAGTGTAACTGTGGTAACTGTGCAAGGGCATCAGCACCTGAAGTGAAGAGCGTTGAGTGATGGGTTTGTGTATCTGATTCCATATTTGAATGTAATTCTTCTAATAATATTAAATGTTATTTTGAAATACCTTTGCCAATGCAATTCTGATGTTTGTCTGACTCTGTAAAAGCTCCCAAATTCAACCCCCGAATCACTGAGGTTGGAAAAGACCTCCAAGGCCATAAAGTCCAACCAGTGACCCATCACCACCTTGTCAACTAGACCAGAGCACTGAGTGCCACGTCCAGTTGTTCCTTGAACCCCTCCAGGGATGGTGACTCCTCCACCTCCCTGGGCAGCACATTCCAATGCCTGACACCTCGTTCCATGAAGGAATCCCTGCTGGAAATTCCATTTCAGTGGCTGAGGCTGTGGATCCCAGCAGCAGTGGCTCACTCGTCACAATCCCTTCCTGCCCCACCTCCTGTGTCCCTGGCTTTTGCATTCCTGAACTTTCCACCCTGAAATCCCTGTCTTGGGACATGTTTCATGGAGCTGTGTGTCTGGCTTTCCAGATTCCATCCCTTCCCTCGAGCTGAAGAGGGATCTGTGTTAGGAGCTGCAGGGGCAGGACAAGGAGTAATGGGGAGAAATTGAAAGAGGGAAATTGAGGCTAGACCTTAGGCAGAAGTTTTCCCTATGTGGGTGTTGAGACACTGGCCCAGGTTGCCCAGGGAGGCTGTGGCTGCCCCAACCCTGGCAGTGTTCACAGCCAGGTTGGCTGAGCCTTGAGCAACCTGCTCTGGTGGGAGGTGTCCCTGCTCAGGGCAGGGGTTGGCGCTGGGTGGTCTCCAAGCTTCATTCCAACCCCTTAACACTCCATAATTCTTCCAACCTTGATTCTATGGATATTGCCCAGGGAGGTGGTGGAGTCACCACTCCTAGAGGTGTTGAAGAGGTGTCTGGATGTGGTGCTTTAGGGTTTAGGGCTGTGACAGGCTAAAAGCGATCACTGCACAGCGCCAGGTTGCACTGGATGATGTTAGGGCTCTCTTTGCACTTCGATGACTCCAACATCTCAGCATGGACACTGTGCCCAGGGACAGCGAGGCTACAACGCCCCGAGCGCTCAGCCAGCACCATTCTCTTCCTGATCCCTCCTCCTCCTGCTCATGATCCC